CAAGTGGAATAAACATGTTGATTATATCTACAAAAAAGCTTGTAAGAAGCTATATTCCCTCCGCGTACTTGGTAGAGCTGGCGTTGAGCAAAGGAATATACTAAAAGTGTATCTAACTACTATCAGACCCGTATTGGAATATGCTGTTCCAATATGGCAAGCGATTCCTGACTATTTAAGTGAAAGGATAGAATCAATACAGACAAGGGCACTTCGAACCATTTTCCCTTCCATAGACAATTATAATGAGGCGATGATGATGGCACAGATACCAACATTGGAGAGCAGACGAGAACTGTTATGTAAAAAAATATATGACTAAAATGAAGAAGGAGGATCATCCTTTTAACAGTTGTATGTATTTATGTAAATATAGTTTTAGTAATACTTTGGACTCGTTAATTCAGTGTAAATATAGTGCAAGAGAGTTTCAATAAACATCAAATAATAATCAAATAATACTATGGATTAAATTCGACCTTTTCGCCTCTCGAGAGGGTTCTCATCCATCATTATCGGAATAGTATACCATCCACCTAGTTCTAATGCGCCAGCCATGAACGAATATTTATCTTGTCAACTTTCATGCAGCTTTCGAGTCTAGCTTTCCTAATACTGGCACGGTTCTTCTTGGTGACTTCAACAAGTTGAACGTTATAGTGGGTTTTCTAGACATTTTAGACTCAAACAATTGGTCAATTTCCCAACTCGCGGAAATAATACCTTGGACTTGATACTAACTGATTTAAATTCAACCCCTGAGAAATTGTCGTCATTTGGTCTCTCTGATCACCTGGCTATCCTGCTTAAACCGAAAACAAGACGTACTTCTCAAGAAACGAGAATTTTACGCAAAATTAGAGACCTGCGGCCAAGCAATAGAACAGCCTTCAGTACCTTTATTAACGAAATCGACTGGTCAATTCTCAATCAGAGCCAAAGCTGTGCAGACAAACTTATTAGACCTTCAAAACTGTTATTCGTACCGGTATAGACATTTTGCTTTCTTTGGAAAGTATGAAATCTTGTTCTAACGAGCCAGCTTGGATAACACCCAGTTTTAAATCCCTCATTACACAACGCCAGAAAGTGCTCACTAACAGCGATACAGTCCGTTTCAAAGTTCTTCGTAACCGAGTTAATTGCGAAAGGAAGAAATGTCGTGCTATATTTTTCCACACGAAAGTGAAGCACCTTAAAGAATCAAAACCCGCGCTTTGGTGGCAACATGTAAAATCTGTGGAATGGACCCTATATATCACCATCTAATGATCTATACGCCTGTTAATGTCAAATGACAATGAGAGCACAGGTTTTTCTCATGAGCAGCTAAAAGAATTGCATGGCCAACGCATCAGTCAAGCCTTTTTATCACCCATGGCTTCTTTCACAATTTTACCCCCACGACAAGAAGATCCTTCACAAATCGAACGTAACACCCTTATCAAAGCAAAAAGCTTTTTAGATATCAACTTACCTTTGAGACCAATATCACTGATGCCCGTTTTCTCAAAGGTGGCTGCGGAGGTCGTAGTTGAAAGATATGTCAAACCTGCCATTTTGAAGATAGTTGACGGACGTCAGTTTGGAACAGTTCCTAGATCATCAACCATCAAGCTCGACGGACGGCAATGGTGCCAGCCTAAGCTGGCATTATCGGATTTTAAGAAAGCCTTCGATTTGGTCGATCATCATATCCTGAAAAGAAAGCTTGAAACATTAGATCTTCCAAGTTGGGTGGTGTTCTGGATGATTGATTTTCTCACCGATCATCAGCAGAGAGTAAAGTTGGGAAATTATGTTTATTCCAGTTGGTCTTCCGTCCCAATAGGAGTACCTCAGGGTACAAAATTAGGTCCCTGACTCTATCTCCAAATGATCAATGACCTGGACACCGATGGTAACGACATTGGAAATATGTCGACGACCTAACAGCAGCCGAAGTGGTTCCCAAAGGATCATTAGGCGAAATGCAGAGGATTTTAAACAGCATCGAAGATCAATCAGCACAGTTAAAATTTACATTTAATGAAAAAAGTGTAAAGAAATGAGAATCCAATTCTCTAGAGTGGAAAATTCTTGTCATCCCTTGACCAGAAATCATAAAGAACATGAAATCGTAAGTCATGCCAAAGTGTTGGGGGTTATTATCAGCAATGATCTGAAATGGAATAGTCACATATAGAGTGTGTTATTAAAAGAACTTCCAAACGTTTGTACTAATTTTTGAGGCAGCTTAAACGTGCCAAAGTACCTCGTGGTGATATGATCTATTTCTATTGTTCGTGTATTCGCAGTATGATCGAATATGCTGCCCCTGTTTTTCATTATGCTCTGCCAACTCAAGATATCAAAAAGCGATGATCTTGAACGTATTAAAAAACGAGCCTTTTTCATCATCTTAGGACCGGAGATATCGTACAGAGATGGCTTGGAGATTACAAAGCTCTGCCCCTTGTCTGATCGATGTCAAGCTCGCTGTCAGAAATTATTCAGGTCAATTATGAACGATCCAAACCACAAATTGTACAATCTTTTACCAACTTTTAACGTTAATGCTAGATACTCATTAAGACACAAGCGGCTTTTTATTGAACCTCGCTATTCTACTAATAGATTTAGAAATTCTTTTATTCCTGCATCTGTGCACAATTTAATATGTAGATTATGTAATCAGTTCATCCAATGTAATTCACTGCAATATTAGTTTTTAATAAATTATTATATTCCTTTTTAAATTATACTTTTTAAAATTATATATTTTTACAAGTTTTGGGTATAAGCTTGTTTGGTCTAGCTGCGATGACGGGAGGAAGACATGAAATGTGCATATTTAACTGATTTTTAACTATATTTTCAGTACTTTTCTGACGAATTAAAATCTACATTTTATGTTGAAAGTTTGTTTCAAGGGAATATTACATCCCAGGTTTGTATAGGACTTCATTATGGTGGGTTTTGGTTTAGAAGTTGATGTATTTGTTTGATTTTTTAAACAGTAAAACTGATTTGTATTTTTTTCTCTCAAAGGATGCAATAGCTCATCAAACATTCATTTACAGGTATAACTATATTTAATTTTCTCACATATGAAAGTTACTGCAAAGTTTACTATATACATGCAGCCTTTCTGTATAACATAACCTTTCTGTATTTTCCATTTATATAGAACACTGCAATTTGAACCTCTCTCGGAAGATTTACGCCCTCAGGTAATTGAGGAACATTTAATCTGCATGCACGCGTCCATGGTATAAAGCATTAAATATAGTATATTCCATAGAAATATCAATTGGGTAGCTATATATAGTCTTCAATAATGAAGCCCATGCACCTATAATTATGTAGGTCAACTGGTCATGCAATAATTATACCATTCCATATTTATTTAGTATATTGTTACCATTTAGCATATTTGCATGGTGACAATTTTTTTTTAATTGTATTTTTGCTGTGTATAGATCAGGGTTGGACAACTTCCTGACTGTGAAAGTATCTGTAAAATTGAAGGATTCAATAGGAAAGACGAGAATATTGTTGTAACTAATTATTATCAGGTAAACACTCTGGCAAACTATATAGTCTATACAGTTTATTTATATATATATATATATATATATATATATATATATATATATATATATATATATATATATATATATATATATATTAAAAAACTCATTAATAATTCAGGAGCAAAACACAAAGAAAAATCATAAGCGTGTCGTGGTTATATATGTGATATAAAATCATGTTAATTTACATAAACTTTAGCTTTGATTTTCTCGGTTTAGACAAAGTTTATTTTAAAAATTACTTCGCCAATTAACTCGTATAAGCTGAGTCGTTTTTTAAGCCATTTAAAACACTCCTACGCGTGCTTTAAATAGTATATATATGTGTATATATATATATATATATATATATATATATATATATATATATATATATATATATATATATATATATATATATATATATATATATATATATATATATATATATGCTGTTGGGGCGACCAGTGGAATACATGATAGTTTTGGAGTTGAAGCTGGTCTAAAATTCTTTTTAAAATACTAGAATATGTACAATAAAAAGTCTAAAAAAGTTCTAAATTTTCGGTTGCTAACTGCAACCTTCATCAGAGTACTAAGAGCAGTTCGGATAGTTCAAGGTTTTAAATATCGTCATTATTGCCACATGATTGCACAAGCGATAAATACATGCGTGGGAATTCTTTGTGTTCGTTAATTGTTTTATTGTCTAATATTGAATGCATCGACTCGAGGAACGGTCGTTTTTCTAAATTATGTACTCTTTTCTCTAAGATTGTAGCATTGTTAATAGAGGCATTGTGTCCTGTGCTTTCTGCGTGGTCTTTGATTGCTGACTTAATCTCCCGTCTTACGCCCGGTTTGTGTTCTGCCCAACGTGATTTCCACGACCTCTTACTTTCTCCAACATACTTAAATGAGCAATCTGGACATTCGAATTTATAAACAATGCCTTTAACCTCCGTGATCTTCTGCTTGTCTTTTGGTTTACTAAAAATGTCCCCTAAGCAGGGGCGTAGGAAGCTTAGAAAAGTTGGGGGGGGGGGCAGGCTTTGAGGGGCACTTTAAAAAAAAAGGGGCATCTCGAAATTTTTTTGGCGACCTCCACCCCCCGTTTTTTGGCGACCTCCACCCCCCCCCCGTCAAAAATGTTTCCGGACATACCATATTTCTTCTTAAATACAAAAAAATTTTCCGGACAAACCAATATATGATATTTTTCTCGGAAACTAAAACATTTTTCGGGAAAAACATAGATTGAAGTTTTCAAAAGTTTCGTTTAGACAAAAAATGCAAATTTTATGAAAATTTTTCAGGCACAAAAAGGGCCCTTTGCTCCTGCAAAAAGGGCACTTGCCAAAACTTGGGGGGCATGCCCCCCCTGGTTCCTACGCCCCTGCCCCTAAGCTTGGCATGGGTTTATATATTGTGCTAATACCAGGTCAGGACAAGGTTCCTGACAGTGAGGACAAGGTTCCTGGCGGTGAGGCCAAGGTTCCTGGCGGTGACGACAAGGTTCCTCGCGGTGAGGACAAGGTTCCTGGCGGTGATGACAAGGGTTCTGGCGGTGACGACATGGTTCCTGGCGGTGAGGACAAGGTTCCTGGCGGTGAGGACAAGGTTCCTGGCGGTGAGGACAAGGCATATCATATATATTCCATACATGAAAGGCATATCAGAACAGATAAAACAGCTGCTTAAAAAGTGCTGGTATTAAGACAATATATAAACCCATGCCAAGCTTACCGGGGGACATTTTTGATAAACCAAAAGACAAGCAGAAGATCACGGAGGTTAAAGGCATTGTTTATAAATTCGAATGTCCAGATTGCTCATTTAAGTATGTTGGAGAAAGCAAGAGATCGTGGAAATCACGTTGGGCAGAACACAAACCAGACGTAAGACCAGAGATTAAGTCAGCAATCAAAGACCACGCAGAAAGCACAAGACACAATGCCTCTATTAACAATGCTACAATCTTAGAGAAAAGAGTACAAAATTTAGAAAAACGAACGTTCCTCGAGTCGATGCATTCAATATTAGACAATAAAACAATTAACGAACACAAAGAATTCCCACGCATGTATTTACCGCTTGTGCAATCATGTGGCGATATGACATGAATCTGTAAATCAACATGAATCTGTATCACATATACAGATACGACACGCTTATGATTTTTCTTTGTGTTTTCTTCATGAATTATTAATGAGTTTTTGAGATTATATATATATATATAGGTGTGATTAGGTCATCATGCACTTATAGAATTTAAAGGTGATGGAAAGTCCGTAAATCGTAATGTAAACAAACGCTTTGTTTACATTTTGAACTCAGTGCAACAGTTGTAAAATATGAATAGATGTATGTTATACTGAATTTTTAACACTCTTCTGGTTCGCTATGCTTGTAAATTAATACAGACTAGAGATTCAATTCAAGAAAGTTCGGAAGGTGCGAAATATTAACAACATTCCAATGGTCTGGTCTTGTACGGTCCCGGACCATTGGAATGTAGGCCTGCGCAGAACGGACTTTATATCACCTTTAATTAAATAAATAAATAAATACAAAGCCAAAGCATTCCTGAAGAAATTACTACTTTCCCATTAATGACCACAAGTTAAACTCATATACCTGCTTGGCGGGAACTCATTCTTGCAGTAGTCGTATTCAAGGGCAGACTTGAACGGACACACACATTCATCTTCCAAAGGAGTATTGTACACAGTTCTTGGACAGAAACAACTGCCACTTGTATAAGGGCAATGGTTGTCAACTACGCCTAAAAAAACAAGATAATTGTTGTCCTTCTACATGCCTAGTTAGCGATTTCCCGTAGCAATCTAATTTACTATACCATTATTTTTATTTTTATTATATTAGTTTATTTCGATCCATTTTGCAGCTAAAGCTGAATTACATGCCCATCCCTTTCGCTAACCTGACGCTTGTTACGTCAGGTTCAGGTAATTGCACATCAGTTTTACGTTATCCTGTCCATGTAGCTGTAGCTGTAGCTGATATGTGACAACTTTATGTTACTTGGGATCTTCTGGTATCTCTATCATTAAATAATTCTGAAAACATAGTCGAAAAAGTGCCTTTCACGCATAATTTATCACATGCACGACTGATTTTATTCACGATTGATTTTATGCATGATTGATTTCTTACATTCTTTACAAAATTGTCAAAACCTTTAAAAATTATACGCGATACTAATCAGTCTACTAGAATACTAGTCAGTATGGCAAAAAAATCCCCACGTTTTAGAGGTAGCTGTGACAGTTCACATCTTCTAAATTTTGACCGTATTTAAATTTCTTCTCAAATCTTCCATTTTTGTACGCAAGCCATTTTTAATGTTGTTTTAAAAACACCCTGCCGCATTAGAAAAGTTAGATACCAGAAGATCCCAAAACTCCCAAACTATATACGCATACTAACAAAGAATTGTCAAAAATGTTCTGGAATTTTCAGTTTAGTGGACATTTTAGAATGCAGTTCATTTGATACACCCTGTATGTACTATGTATACCCTGACATGAGCAGGGCATTTTTTAAGAAATTACAACTACTTGGGCAAAATCTAGTAGAGAGTTTTAGATTGACTTTTACGCGGCAAACGTCAAACCGCTAACGAAGTTTGTGATTTTACAACTCTATTATAACAGCTTTTACACCAGTTTTGAAATATTTTAAACAATTATTAAACTTGTGGTATTTAGCAATAATTTAAGAAAACAAATTAACCACTAGTCATGTATTCACCAAAGCAGTAAATTAAGATTTAGCGTTTGAAGTTTACGTTTGGCGTATAAACATCATGCTTTAACGACTACAAGCCCTCGTAACAGTTCAAGCATAAAATTTATACGCCAAACGGTCAACTTCAACCACTGCTTTGGCGAATACATGACTAGTGGTTAATTACTCGCTGGGGTACTGTGCCCGGGCGAGTATAGGTTTCGGCTCACATTTTTAGTGGATTTCCAATAGTGGTCGGCAATTTTCTTGTATAGCCACAAAATAGAATATTAATGAGCTACCCAATTTATCCTTTTCAAAATGGCGGCCTTGGTGGAGTGGGCAAGGTGTTTCGAACAATTTCGTTAAAATTTTCAACGAATTGTACTTGTTTTCTATGGATTTTGCATTGTGTCTAACTCTAGACATTCTTGCTAGTTTAGTTAATGCATTTTTCTTGGTGCACGACTATGAAAATCCGAAATTTGGATCGTTCAATTCCTGTGCACGATCATGTAATATACTGAATCTGAATATAAACGAGCCAAAGACAATTTCAAGGTAAAAGGTTATAACTTAAACTACATAAAGTAGTTTTAATAGATAACTACTTGATGAGAAGCATATTGGTGTCATATCAATATAAAATTTATCCAACAACAGTCTCTAAGGCCTAAATACTTATATAGACTATATAATTAGCTGCGAACGTAAACTGCAGTGTGAAATATGATATTGTATTTGTAATGCTTAATCTAATGGCGCAATAAGGATAAAAATACCACCGTTTGATTCAGTGTAAGAAATTGTACAGTACTTACGGATGTCAAATGTATTACTAAACAACAATATTCTAGCAATTTATGGCCTTTGAAAATCAAACGAAATTGTATTGTTGACTATTAAATCGCTCGCAGACCTCTCGCAGTACGTGTTGACTGTTGTTGACAATCATTCGACACTCGCAGTACGTTTGACTTCGTATTTGTAATGCCTAATGGCGCAATAAGGATAAAAATACCACCCGATTCAGCGTACGAAATTGTACTAATTACGGATGTCAAATGTATCACTACACAACAGTATTCTAGCGGTTTATAGCGTTTGTATTTGAAAGCCAAGCGAAATTTCTACCGAGAAATTGTATTGTTATAACTAATCGCTCAAAATTTATATTAAACTAATTATAAAAAATACAGTACGTTTGATCCTTGATAACTTTGGTATCGTTGGTTTTCCTTTTTTCGGCCCTACACCAGTAGATTCGTCTCACTTCTCTCTTCATTTTGATAGTATTTTGAGCCCAAAAATATTATATTTCGAACGTTTTTAAGCGCAGTTTAACCCTAGCCAAAAATGATTTTGAACGTTTTTATAAAGCGCAGTTTAATCCTAGCCGGCGGAAACGCCGGAAGTTTTATTTGTAGACCGAATGTAATAGTACTGTTTCTGATTGTGATTGTACAAGTCCTGAACTGAGGTCATTATACTAACAGAAACTTCAAAACTGAGCCACCTACCTGCAATACAAACCTACTAATTTGAGAGCGGCAGCACTCTCACCTTAACAAGCAAAATCGACTGGTTTAATAATAAAGTAGGGTGCATGATTGCCATTGGGGCACAATGCAAATCAGTGGGATAATAAACAATATTATAACATGGTATTCACCTAAATAAACTGAGCACTGTTATATGTTGATATGGTTCAAAACAGAGTGAACAAAACTCGCGCTCAGTTTCCCGCTTAGCTTGGGACAACCTCACAACCTTAAATCTTAATTGAAATAGCTGTGTACTGCATGTATGTATCATATATGGTAATGTTCGTATTTGTTAATAGCCCCAGCGAGTTAACGCTCTGTGGAGCGTCTTGTTCTTTCTTAAATCATTGTTAAATACCACATGTTTAATAATTGCTTAATATATTTCAAAACTGGTGTAAAAGCTGTTATAATAGAGTTCTAAAATCACAAACTTCGTTAGACGTTTGACGTTTGCCGTAAACGTCAATCTAAAACTCTCTACTAGACACCTTAAGATTGACGTATTTTCCCCAAACGTCTAACCGCTAACCGCTAGAAACCACGTGACCAGGAGCTTGCCGCCACGTTTGCCGTAAATCGCTCACGTTTTAAACCTCAAGAGTGCATTCTACAGGTAAGTGATTACGTATATGACATGTATTAAGACAAATATACACCTTATCTTTGATTTGGATGGATAAAAGTTGTTTTTAACAGGAAATTTTTCATATTCTGAGTGCTTTTAACCGAATCATGTATAAATTCGATATACAGACAACATGGCGCCCAATCGACTCTCTAATTTATTTGGGTTAAACAAACATGAAAATTTCGATTGTCAGTTCAATATTTTGTGGCCGATTTTGGTATTATATAGATTTCTTAAATTGAGATTTGTTTATTTTAAGTCGTGTTTTGAATCGTTTTAATTAATAAACGTTTACATTTGAACATTCACGATAAAGCAAGTTCAAAATCATTGATGACCTTTTCACAGTCCGTGTTTAAACATACTTGCATATTTCTTACTTACATTATACTTTCATATTTCAATTCATTTTAACAAATTGGTAGTGACATTTGTTTTTTTGACAGGATGGCACAATTCAAACGGATCCTATAGTTTCGACGGAAAAAAATTGAACGCGAAGAAAAACGTCAATCTTAATTTCATATTTGCAAGTACGGCAAACGTGAAACCGCTAACGGCAAACCGCGGTTTGCGGTTAGGCGTAAATAAAATAAACGTCAAATGAATCTTAAGGTGTC